CGATGACGACGGAAGCCGCATTGGCTTTCCGGCAGAAGGCCCTGTTCCAGATGGTTATTGAGGCGGTTGAGAAGGATGCGGGCGAAGATCTTCCCGGCGATGTTCAGCAGGGAGATGCCGCGGTGATTGTCGCAGACTTGGCTATTCCCTTTGCGCTTGTAGAGATGCACGATGGTTGCGTCCTTGAAATCTTGGGAGACTTTGCCTTGACGCCACATCTCCTGGAAGAGCGCAGTCAGGTGATCCATCAGTTGGAGACCTCCGTGCTTGTAGACCTCAGCAGGGATTGCGTCCGATCCGGGTGATTTCCCACTGGAGAGCTGCTGCACGGCCCTGATGGTCTCCTGGAGAGATGGCAGGAGGTCGAGGTCCACGTTGGTCACCACTTGCGGCAAGCAGGCGATGGCGGCGTCAGAGATGGCGGAAGGGCGGTTGAGGACGCCTCGAAAATGCTCTGCCCATCGCTGCAGGATTTGCGTCTTCTCAGTCAGGAGAGTGCTTCCGTCGGCGCTGAGGAGAGGAGCAGTGCCTTTCGTCGGCGGACCGCAGACATCTTTGATCGCAGGAAAGAAGTTCTTCCATTCGTTGTGGTCTGCGTACCCTTGAATTTCCTCAGCCTTGCGAGCAGTCCAGGCGTCCTGCATCTCGCGCAGTCGTTGCTGAAGTTGGCGGCGACTGCTTTAGAACGCAGCTTTGGTGGCATCAGTGGGGTGATCTACGTAGGCTTTGTGTAGGCGGTTCTTCTCAGCAAGCATATTTCTGATGGCGGCGTCGTTGTCGTCGAACCAGTCCTGATGTTGGCGGGGAGCGTGACCGAGGACGGCGAGCGCCGTCGACTGGACCGAGTCTCGCAGTTGACACCAGCGGTTTTCCACGAAGGCGTTCTCGGCAGCGGCGGCGGCGTCGTCGGCGACAGCGATAGGAAGGTTGTCAGCCGTTGAGCTAGCTCATTGCTGAAATGAAGATGGTGAGCGGGCAAAGACAACAAGGCAACATTCAGCTTACCTGGGGGTCGCTTACCTTGTGGTCTCCTGCGAGGCTGTAGACGAATACGCATCTTCGAGATGACGAGGCGATGGTCGGTCCACCCGTCAGCGACCGCGATCGCCTTCGTCACCAGCACGTCCCGCTGATCTCGCCTCCGGACGCGGACATAGTCCAGCAGGTGCCACTGACGCGACCGAGGATGCCTCCAGGTGGCCTTCTCTCGCTCCGGCAGACAGAAGAAGGTGTTCGTCAGGATTAGGCGGTGTTCTGCGCAGGTGCGGAGCAGCAGCAGACTATTGTCGTTTGAGCCGCGGAGACCGTGGAGACCCAGCATTCCTCTCCAGGCAGTATGGTTTGTGCCGACGCGGGCGTTGAAGTCACCAAGGACAAACAACTTGTCCGCCTTCGACACAGTCGCCAAGAGGGCGTGCAGGTCCTCGTAGAATTTGTCTCGTGCGGCGTCGGGCCTGGTCATCGTCGGAGCGTAGGCGCTGATGATGGTGGCGAATTTGCCCCCACCCCAGAAAGGCAGTCGGAGGCACATCAGGCGATCGTTGATGCCCTGCGGTAGACAGGGCAGTCGTCCCACGATGTCGATGGCGACGCCCGTGTCTCGTCGCTCTGCTCTGGGCCGACCCCTCCAGTAGAAGGTGTAGCCGGCACACACCTCCTCCAGCTGGCCTTGGTCGGAGAATCGGGTCTCGCTGAGTGCGGCGATGTCCACCTTGTAGCGCGCCAGTTCTCGTGCCACTAGCGCCGTCCTCCGTTCCGGTCGGTTGCTCCTCGGATTGTCTAAAAGGGAACGAACATTCCAGGCTGCCAGAGTGAGCGGGCTCACCCCGCCAGTCTGGTGACAACGAGTGGGGCGACGGGAAGGAGATAAAAAAGAAGGTGACGAAGGAGAAGAATAGGCAGAAGAATAGGCAGAGGAAGAGGAAGAGGAGGTAGGATGAGGAGAATGGGTATGGCTGTTGTTGTTATTGGTATTGTTGTGGTTTCGATTTTGCTTGTTTCGACCATGATAAGACGTCTGCGGCCCTGGCTAGTCTGGAGACGGCGTGGTACCCAGCAATGTTTAGGCCACCTTTTCTAGGCCCTTCCCCTCGTGGGGGCTGGCAGTGCCATCCCTGAATAGGGCTGCCATGTGCCGTTGTGGCACGGCCGAACTCCACTATGGGGCCATGACTTGTTGTTCGTGGTGGGGAGCGACTCGAATTCGCCGTAAGCCGCGGTCTCCGACGGCGTAGGTGGGCGCGTCAAGGCGATGTCGATGTGGAGATCCACCCCGTCACCGGCTGTCCAGCGGCGTGCAGAGACGAACCACGTCACGACGGTGCCGACGCAAGGTTCCATCCGACCTTCCATCCAGCGGAATCCGCAAACTCTGTGCACACGGCACAGCGCACAGGGCCCCCTCACTTGGTTTAGCCCACCGGTCGAGGCGGTTGCCCGGGGTGTGGCCGCTGTGCAGAGCCCAGCTGCGTGGAGCCACAGGCAAGAGATGGGTGCCAGCAAGTGAACGCTATGCATAGTCTCACCTGCAAGCAAGTGAGCGACCACCACGACCATCTCGTGGGCACACACACACACACACACAGTTCTACCGTCGCGTCCGACGAGGTCCACCGTATGCTCCTCAGCAGGGTAGGTGCAGGATCGGTGAATTGTGCGAAAATGTAGTTTATAGTGACAGCAGACTTGCACTGCATCTACTGCACTCTCTCCTCCTCCCCCGCCTGAGCCCGGTGTCACGACAGAGTCAAGGAGACCGGAGACGGGGGACACAGGTGGATGGCATGGTCGAGCCCGCACCTTGGCGCTCCACCGCAAACTCCCTGGTCCACACAACAAATAGCCCGGTTTTGATTCACAACAACAATGAGGGGGTAACAGGGTCCCTGTGTGCGCGAAGTGCGCC